AGTTTTGTTGGATGTTAAAAAAACGATGATGACTGCTGATTTCTGAGACAAAATATTTTATATAATTGTTATTTATAATTTTTTTTAAAATAATTATATTTAAAGTAAATAAGTAATAATAATTAACATTATTTTATTTTAAACATTTAAAAACACCTACAAATATGTAAAATGTTCTTAAAATATGATATTCATCTTAATTTAATTATTTGTGTAATTATTTGTCAGAAAATTCTTATAAATTATTATGACTTATTATAAAACAATATTCTTATAAATATATTATCATATTTAAATAAAAAAAAATAAAATACATTTTTAATAAAAGAAAATGCTTTGACCTTGCATTTCCAAAAGTCCAAAAGAAAAAGAAAGAAAATAAAAATACACCTGTTCACACATATCACTATATGCTCACGATGAATAACAGTGCCTGTTCACTTACATCTGTCTTTACAAGAACTTAAACTGCATGACATGACAAGATCAGCCTGCTAGTCATTGAACTGATATTCTGATCATGAGGTTCAGTGCCTTGCTCAAGGGCCGTACATTACAACTTAAACAAAATGTATGAAATAAAAACAACAACAAAGTAACAAATATATGAATGGGTTGCATTAATCTGTTGGATTACAGTTATTTTAGTATGGATAAACCAACACTACTGTTTACAAGTTTGGAGTCAGTAAGATTTTTCTCTTTGAAAGAAGTCTCTTCTGCTCATCAAGGCTGCATTTAATTGATCAAAAATACAGTAAAAACTGTAATATAGTGAAATATTATTACAATTTAAAAAAATGTTCTATTTGAATATAGCTCGAGCTCTAGTTTTGATATTTGCTTAATAAAGGAATTTGTTAGAGACATGATCTGCCATTTCTAGTCATTTCTCTTTAATGCCAAAGAAACGTTATTAATCAGTTACTGAATGCCTTATTTTCAAAAATGTCAAATGATATTTTCATAGGAGCCTGATAAAAAAAAGCTCATTTGAAAGAAAAATCTCAGACGGACAGAGGTTTTTGCATCTGAAGTCTTCATATATAAACATTTATACAGTGTGAATTGTGATATATTGTCAGGATTCTGGACTGTTCTGTGTCATGTTTTGCCCCTGTTTCTGTTCCTGTTTTTCCTTATTTGGTCATGTTCCTGTCCTCGTTTAGTTTGATTATGATTCCTGACACCTGTGTTTAGTAATTATCCCTTGTATTTAAGTTCCTGTTTGTTCAGTCTTCCTTTGTCGGTTCTACTCGTTGGATGTTGTGTAATTCTCCTGTCTTTCCAAGGATTAAAGACTGTTTATGTAATCCACGTCTCCTTGTTCCTCGTTCTGTGCTCCTCCCAGCACAGATCGTGACAGAAGAACCGACCTAAAACAGTAACCTCCGTGTGTCTACCCTCCATTTTTGTTTCCGTGTTTTTTCCCTCAGTGTTTTGTTTCCGTTGTGTTTCTATGGATCCCCTCCTTCGCCCCGAATTCCTCCTCCTCCTCCTGGAACAGGGGGAGCGCTCGCTCGAGGACCATACCAGACTGTTTGTGGCCTTCGCCGAACTTACCAGCTACCTGGACGACGCGCTCTGCGCGTTCTATGATGCTAGCCTGAACACTGCGTGCAGAGCGCCGTTGTCCGAAGATAGTCTTCGAGCGGAATTCGCTGCCTTCGTGGAGTGGACTCTGGCGAGAAACGGATCGCCATCCTGCCCCGTGGATGATCTCGTCAGATCCACTCCAGACCCAGCGCCCAGCCCACCATCTCCCCACTGTGCAGAGCTAAAGCCCGAGCCCACCGATGACGGAGAGCCAATTCCTGCC